AAAAAAAAAAAAAAAAAAAAAAAAAAAAACCAATAACAAAAAAGATAGAGTTAATTTTACAGAAATCATGGAATAGTAAATAAAAACCTTTCCCATGCTGTAGTCATTTTAGAAAAACCTTTACAATTATCTAGTCAAACCTATATCCCTACTATTATTACTTGTTTAATAGTTTTATTGCATTGTTTCATTATAAATTCCATAATGACTGAAATTAAGGAAAAGATATATTTTCTAATACACATTGAAATACATAATTATTCAAATTTTGAAAGTTCATTAATTATCTGACATTTCATATACCACAGATGACTTAATACTTTGGAAGGCAGTTTTATTATAACCTGTCTGAAAGAAAAATACTTATTAGGAAATAACATTGTAAGCTTTTTTTATTGCAAGAGCAGACTAGGAAATGACTAATTTTCAGTGGAAGTTTGTTGATATTGATGGTTCTATAAAATTTAAATAATTCAAACTTTGAAGTGTTTTATTTTTCAGTATAATGGTTTTACTGAAACTTAAGTGAATATTTGTTCCTTAAATGATTTTACTTTTCCTTTAATTTTTTTCAGGTATGTGACTGGTTGTATCCTCTGGTCCCTGACAGATCTCCAGTTCTCAAATGTTCTGTGGGAGCCTACATGTTTCCTGATACAATGTTACAAGCTGCAGGATGCTTTGTGGGTGTGGTCTTATCCTCTGAACTACCAGAAGATGATAGAGAATTCTTTGAGGATTTGTTAAGACAAATGTCTGACCTTCGACTTCAGGTAATTTGTGCCATCATTGTAGGATGCAAATTTACTTTAACATAATTGCTTCTACTTTTAAATAAATTGCAGTGTGGCCAAAGTATATACATATATATAATTTACTTATGTGCTGATAAGCCACACTGGGAATTTGCTGTAAGTATTAATAAGATTGTAGGCTCTAGAGTCAAATTACCTGAGTTTGAATTTAGGCATCCACTTAATAGCTGTTTCAGCTGTTACTGAACTTCTTTATACTTTAGTTTCCTTATTATAAAATGGGGATGCTAGTACTAATGTACTGATGATGATGAAAGAATTTGTATTAATGCTAGCAATTGGTAATGCTCTACGAATATTGGCTATTGTTTTCACCACTATTTTACTACTCAGTTGGAAAGGGGGCTAGTGGAACTAAATCATGAAATGAAAGTAATTTTAACTTTAGCAAGTGGGTTATATTGGACATGCTAGGGGTATAATTGGTATTTTAGGGCATATTTTGGTTAAGAGAATTGTTTCTTCTCATGGTAAAAATGGCCAAATGAAAAGAAAGTGTAATATAAAATTTAATTATGCTGTGACCTTCCTTGTTTAGGCTGCTTCGTCTGCTCACCTGCTTATCTGTCATAAGGAGTTGAAAGATTATTATGAACAAGTTGCCTAGGATTGAATGAGGTTGATAACATGATAGTATAATCTTTTAATCTTTTCCTTATTCAACAGATATATGGAATCCATTATTTAACTAGAGATTGTGTTAAATGGTGAGATGGGAAGAATGAGAACAACAAAATAAAAGCAGATAATACAATGAAATGCGCACGCTTGCACAGACTCACACACACCCCTATTCACTGAGGATAACGTGATCCAAAGACAGTAATTTAGAATAGCAGTCATTTAAACTATTTTAGCAGTACACATGATTGGCATTTATAAATGTGTAGGGTTAGTTAAATATTTATAAATTTACTCATGTGTGTTATCTAAAATTTTTTATTAAATTCAAATGTAGCTACATCTGATTTCAAGATAACACCACCACAACTGCTATAACTTACCTTTTTTAATATTTTGTCTTTTGAAATGTACTTTGGCCATATGCTATAGTATCAGCCAAAGAACTCAGATGTTTGGGGTTTGGTAATGAGATAAAATTTCAGGAAAAGAAAAGCAAAACTAATTTATAGACTGTCAAATACAGACATTTGAACAAGTATTTCATTATATCATGGTGTAGTGTCATTGGAGGAAACTTATTTAAAAGTCTATTTGAACTAAGCTTAGTCCTTTACTCTGCAGGCCAACTGGAACAGAGCAGAAGGAGAAGATGAATTTCAAATCCCTGGAAGAACAAGATACCCCTCTGACCAAGTGAGAGAAGCCTCTGGTAGTGATGTGAGTCCATTAGACCCTTCATTAGGCCAAGGAAACAAGGATGTGCATCATAAAGGAAAATACAAGAAAAAGGTAAATAAAGGAGCAATACGAAGTATGTATGTTCTCTTCTAATGGTATCTTTCACCAGCTTTGTGTATTCTATAATTATATTCCCATTCTCTAAAGCACATCATCTTGGACAAAGTGATCACTGGCAAAAACAAGGTCAATTTTAATATTATTTAATGTTTATCCTTTTTCAAATATTTCTTACTTAAACTATTTCAAAAATATATTTTGTGTTTGGAGATAAAAAGGTTTTCATGTTTATAGTCACATGCATACTTTGTTTCACGATGTTCTCTACTTTGCTATATTCACCCAGATGTTGGGACAAAGTATACTACTCCTTTCTTTTACTGCCGTTATTCTTCATTTCCTTAGATTTTCATGTATGAGCAACAGAATTGAAATTTTATTTCTTAAAATATACTCAGCAGTTTTTCATTTCTTAGGTTGTGAATATGAAGTATACTCTAAATGATAAATCGGAATTATAGAGTTCAGTAAATATTTACAGTAATACCTTGGTTCACGAATGCTTCTGTTTGCAAATAATTTCACAAACAAAGGATTAGGCAAAATTTTGCTTCCCTTTGTAAACTCCACATCGGATAACAAACACAACCATCTTCCTTCCACAAATACAGATACAGCCATCTTATCCAAAATTGTACAACAAATTAAGTTAGTAGACTGAAGTACTTGTGTTGAGTACTGAAGTGTTACTCAGTGATTCCAGTGTTACTGAGTTCTGGAGAGGAAGCTATGTAGTGGAAAAAGTTTGTTTCTTCTATTGAGGGATTTATTATTAGTGGATAGTACAGATAAGATTATTTCTATCTAATGTGATCAATAGATAATAGATAAGGCCTAATTTATTAAATAAATATGGGTGGATGAGTGGCATGGAAAGCAGTGAAGATGTGGTCAAGATGAGTATTGAAGGGAAAGAAGAGGTGGCCATAGAGTTAAAAACATCACACTGACATCATTACAATGATACAGTGTAATGTGATGTCAGTGTGATGTCTTTAACTCTTTCTGAAAGATAACTACAAGGTAATAACTGGGTAGAATGGAATTTCTATTTTTAGTGTTATGAGGAGTCTTCATATTGATTTCCATAGCAGTGGCTCTGGTTTACATTTCCACAATATAGAATGGTTCTTTTTCCCCCACAATCTCGCCAAGATTTATTATTTGATTTTTTTATGAAAGCCATTCTTTATTTAGAATAAGACGGAATCTCAGTGTAGTTTTAATTTTCATTTCTGTAATAACTAAACTATATCCCTAGTCCTTTTAAAATTTTTGCTTGGAGACAGGGGTCTTGCCAAGTTGTCCCCACTGGGTTTGAATTGTGTCTTCCTGCCTTAACCTCGAAGAATGCTCAATTATAGATGTGTGCAGCCACACCCAGCTAGGATCATACTATTCATTCCCACTAGTAGTATACGAGAGTACAGTAGTCCTCTTCTTTCTCACTGGTTTTTGTTACATATGGTCAACTATAGCCCAAAAATATTAAGTGGAAAATTTTTCCTGTAATTATGTCTTCTGAAATAAACAATTCATATATAATTTAGGGTTTTCTGAGTAGTGTGTTGAAAACTCTTGCTACCCCCTCTTCATTGCCCCCCATCACAAATGATCCCTTTGTTCAACATATTTACATTATATATATATATATCACTTTCCCATTAATCATTTGTAGCCATTACGGTTATCAGATGGATTGTCCTAGAGTTGTAAGATTTGTGTTCAAATAAGCCTTATTTTAATAATGGCCTTAAAGCTCAAGGGTAGTGACTCTGGCAATTTGAATTTGCCAAACAAAGAAAAACTTTAAAGGTGAACGGTTTTTGGTTTTTGGTTTTTTGGGGGGGTGTTTTTTGAGACAGGGTCTCACTATGTAGTTCAGACTATTCTGGAACTCACTGTGTAGCCCAGGCTGGTCTCGAATTTGCAGTGATCCTCCTGCCTCAGCCTTCCGAGTGCTGGAATTACAGGTGTGCACCACCACGCCCGGCTTAAAGTGAAAATTCTTAATAAGAAAAGAAACATGATCAAATGCCAAGGTTGTTAACATCTACAGTGAAAACAAATCTGTGAAATTGTGAAGGAAAGGAAATTCATGCTAGTTTTGCTGATGTAAAACATATTGTTACAACTTTTCTATTTTACCATTAGTATTGTTAACTTACTGTGCCTAATTTATAAATGGAACTTTATCATACTTATATGTATATAGGAAAAAATGGTGTATGTAGGGTTCATTAGCAACTATGGGTCAGGCATCTATTAGGTTTCTTGTAATTTATCCGCTGTAGATAAGGAGGACTACTGTGTTTGAGGGGATGGTTAATTTTTCTATATTTAGCGGTTATGCTAGGTGAGAAGTGGGATATGAGAATATCTTACTTTGCATTGATTTCACTTTGATGCCAAGCCTCTGTGCTTAAAAATTCCTTCAGCTTTGTTTTCTGTATATTATGGTTGTGTTCTGTGTCCATTTCTTAAGGGCTATTAATCTTTTTATTCTATTTTTAGAAATTATTTATAAAGGAATATTGCCGCATTCTGAAAGATAGAAGTTGCAAATCCTTTACCCAGTTTATCTTTAGATTTTACTTATGGTTGGCTTTTTTCTCCCACATAGAAGTTGTTGACTAATGCATGTGTGTATATACATGTATGTGTGTATGTATACATATCTATATATGCAAAATCTCCTGTTTTTATATTTTAAGTGAAGTTCTGTGGGGCACTTTGATTTTTAAATTATAATTTTATAAGTTCTGAATTAGCTTGTTCCTCAGTTTTTAGAATGTATTAATTTGTCATTAAGATTGTGGGTATTGGCCCTCTTGTGGCAGCTGTTAAATTAACAAGGTACAGATAATTCTTTGTTCCCCATTTCCATTTTAATGGAATGGCAGGTCATTCCATGTTGTCTATTCTTGTTTCATATTGGCTTCTACTTGATTGCCAGGAACTGATCAGACCCCAGATACCCGTTGTGAGGCTGGTGAGAATAAAGTAAGACAGACAAATTTCAAGATGCAGGGGGAACCAGAAGAGATAAGACCTCTAGTGGACACTCTCAATTATCTCTGGGTTGACTCGCTTTTATTAGAAACCCAAAAGGATGGGGAGGGGGTCGTGCGTCATTGTGGAACAGTGACTGCCAGTAGATGTCAGTAAATGTGTAACTAATAAGTAATGGAAAACAAACCTTCCCTCCTACCCAGAAGCCTATGTTCTATGCATTGTCCTCAGCAGAAGTTATCTTGCCCCAGGCATGCTGTGTTTATGAGTTTTCTGCTCATTCCACCTGTGTTTTTTTCATTAACTTTTCTGTTCCTCAAGCAAATTACATCAGCCTTGGACTCTTTGGGACTCAGGTCGCGTAACCTGATCCCCAATACTTGATCCCTGTCAAAATCAGTTTATTTGGATGCATTGTTTATTACTGATTGAGTTGTTTGACAAATCTTTTAACCTTCTTGAGTAATGTGCATACTACTAAGATCTGTGGATGACACTTGTTTGAAGGAACTTCATACAGTCTAGTCAAGAAGAGTCAATTTAAATGTAATTTGATAAATGCAATATTGAAGTTATACTGGTGTTTATCTTACTGTTTTGGTGTTTGTTTTATTTTGTTTGGTACTGGGGATCTAACTCGGGACGTTGAGCCTGCGAGGCAGACGGTAGAACCACTGAGCTAAATCCCTGGCCCTATCTCTTACTGTTGAGGATTTATATAATACTGGAATGATTTTCACCTCTATGTCAGTTCTGGTAATGCACTTTATAAGATGTACCAGTAACTGTCTGGAGATATTTTCATTAATTATGTCTAATATTTGTTTGCCTAATGTTTTATTATACAATGTTTAACAATTTACCCCCTTAGTATTTCAAGTTTACATTTTGAAACATCTTTACTGTTTAGACTAAAGATACTTCAAATGAAGAAGTTAACCTGAGTCACATGGTACCCTGTGGGCCAGTTTCAGAAGAAAAAGCTAAAGAATTACCTGAGTGGAGTGAGAAAGTGGCTCAAAACATTTTGTCAGGTATTATTATAAGGTTAATTTTTTCCCTTATAACTTGAAATTTTTGGAATCCAGTAAAGGTACTGTTTATAATGAAATACTTAGAAAAATAACATTTTGTATTTTACTTTTAATTAATTAATTTAGAAATAATAACAAAAGAAACTAGTCTCTTAGAACATCATATATTGTTATATTGGAAAAAGTTCTACCTGGTATGTTATTATCTGTTTTGTTATTGGGAAAATTGGTAATGAAAAGCTTCAGGAATCTCTACTCAAATAGCTGTAAACATATAGTTACTTTCCTTTCTTCTCTGAAACATCACCTGACATACACATACCACTGCTGTAATCTGAATGTTGGGTCGCCCTGCCCCATTCATATGTTGAAATCCTAACCCCCAAAATGATAGTATTAGGAGTTAGATAATTCTGAGTTATCTGTCATCCTCTCATTTGTTAAGCAGACATTCATTATCTGCCATATGTCAGCGTTAATGCATAAAATGTAAACTTGCATCGAACCTGTCTATATCTGACAGTATACATGCCATTTAGAAGACTCAAATAGCTAACAATGAAATTTACTGCATTAGGCTTCCTTATCTTCTTTTGTAATGCCTACAATTTAAAAATTTTTATCTGTATTATGCTCTCGCATGGTGATACCATATTAATCATTTGCATCTAGTATTTCTCTGTATTAGTCCTACGACGTTTTATTTGTCTCATTTCCATTTATTTTTCTCAGTTGTCAGTAAATCCTGTATCTTTTGTTTCTTACAGACTTTCATTGTATTATTATTATAGTCTCTGTCTTTTCTCATTGCCAAGACAAAATATCCAGCATTCTAAGCTAAAAGAGGAAAGGTTTATTTAAGCTCAGTTTGTAGAAGTTTCAGTCCATAGTCAGCTGTCTCCAAGGCAGGGCGGCATGGCAGAGGGGGATCACAGAGGAGAAACAGTCCATGGCACATTAGGGCAGGAAGAAGACAGCAGAATAGCAAAGCAGCAGTAGGAGGTAGCAGGCCTTTTTTATCCAGGCTACCTGTTTTCTGGGCAGAACCACCCATAACCAGGGTGGCTCACCCTTAATCCCAGCATCACATACTTAATCTCATTACCACACCGTAGATCCAGCCACCTCTGAAAAGAACTACCTGTCTATGAGTGCATGAGGGTTTGAGGGGACATCTAGGTACAAACCATAACAATCTCGTTTGCTTCATTGTCATTTTGATTCCTCAGTTTTTCTTATTCAAATTTATCTTGGTTTGGGGGTTTTTGTTTTGTTTTATTTTTGTTTTTTGTTTTTTTTTTCCTTAAAATTTTATAATCTAGAGCAGAGCACAGTGGCATATGGCTATAATCCCAGCTGAGGCAAGGAAGATTGCCATGAGTTTGAGGCCAGCCGAAGCTACATACTGAGTTTAAGACCAGCCTGAACTACATAATGAGACCCTATCTCAAAATAAATAAATAAATATTTTGCAGTCTGTAAGTTAGTAGCTTTAAAAACATACTTTGTGGGGCCAGGGATTTAGCTCAGCAGTTTGGTGGCCTGCCTCGCAAGCACAAGGACCCGAGTTCAATCCCCGGTACCAAAAAAAAAAAAAAAAAAAAAAACAAAAACAAT